CTTTTAAAAGATCTTGTGCAGCAGATTTGCCTCATGCAATATGTCCTTTGATTTCTTGACTGCTGCTTCCGTGAGTGTTGATAGTTGATCCAAGAAGAATGAAGTCCTTGAGAACTTCAATCTTTTCTCCATTGATAAGAATGTTGTTTATTGGTCCAGTGGTGAGGATTTTTGTTTTCTTTAAGTGCCATCAAGTCGGTACCAATTCATTGCCACCATGTATAGGGTTTCCCAGGTGGTACATCTTTTAGCAGGAACAGAAAGTCTCATCTTTCTCCTGCAGAGCGCCTGGTGGACTTCTAACACAGACATTGTGGTTCACAATCCAGTGTTTATGGAGTCTAGCACAAATCGCTGCCCATTTGTACCATCTAGGGTCTTATAACTCATACAAAGTTAACAACAACAACAACCAAAAAATCAGGCGCTGTAGGTTAAGCATTGTACCTGCAAGGTCTGTTTGAACCACAAGGTTGGCGGTTCAAACTCACCAGTCGCTCCTTGGAAACCCTATAAAGGGTCACTATGAGTCCAACGGATTCAATGGCACACAACAACAGCTTCCCACCTAGATTAGTCCTTTTTTTGTCGAGGCGACAAATAACACAAAATGTACTGTTTCCAAGATTCAACTTCTCAGAAGCCATAGTGGGAACTGTCCCCTCAGCATGTAACTCAGTTCAGTAAGGTAGCCGCAGTATCCGGTAGGGACAGGGAGGATCCACAAAAGGCGGGAAGCGGTGGCTACTGGAGAACCGGGCCCGGCCCCGCAGAGACCACGCCCTCCCGCCAGGGCCCGCCCCGGCCCCGCCTCCTCGCCTTTCTGGCCGGCCGCACGCCTGCAACGTGCACTGAAGATGGCGGCGGCTGCTGGAAGGTTACTCCTGGCCTCGGTGAGTGGCTGCCGGCTGGGGACAGGCGAGGAGACATCGCAGTGGCTCTGGGAACGTGTTTTCCAGGCTGGGCCCCTCTCTCCATCGGCCTGGGGGGCGTTCGCTCTCGTTGGAGCGGTCAGCGGGTAACGGACCCGGAGGCCTTGGGGGGTGGGGGGGGAAGGCTGCGTGCGTCTGCGCAGAGCCGTCCTTCTCTTACACCTTCCCCCCCTTCCCCCGCGTCCCTCCCCATCCCTCCTCGCGGGTCTCCAGTTCGCTGTCCGCTTAAGCACCTAACCTGGAGGCGGGCTTCCGAGTTTCTTGTCTGGTCCCTATTCTATAGCCGACTATGACCTTGGACAAGTGACTTCGCGTTTCTGAGCCTCAGTTAACATCCCTTATTCATAAGACTAAGAGAAGACGCCGACACTATAGGCGTCAGTGAGCATCTACCCAAATGGAAGCAAACATACAACTCGCGACAGGAACTAAGGCAGTTACCCTGCACCCCCAGGTCTGCTCAGCTGGGGTGCCTCTGCTCTTCGGGGCAAAGCTTGACTCCCTCTTGCTACCTTCCCCCTTTCTCATGGTGGGTTTCAGCGGGGCCACTGTCGCCTTCCTGAGTCATGCTGGATATGAAAGTTGAGCAAACATTTTCCTTGAACCCTGTCCAAACTTATCCAGAGGTTGAACTTTGCCTTACTTGTTTGCTTGTGTTTGGGGCTGAAAGGGCCTTGTCTTTTCTAAGAAAAAAAATGATGAACATGCTCAGCAGATAGTGCTGGTAAAGGACAGAAAAGTCGGGGCCTGCCAGATCGGTCTTGAACTCGGTTGCTTTCAAGAGCATGGGGTTTTTATTTCCCCTCTTCAGAGAGAGAAGCAGAATACACATGTTAAGAACATAGATCTCTTATTAGAGTTTAGAGTCAGATCCACTGGAGTGAGGACAGCTGAGGTTGGCATGGGCATGAGTCTGTCTTCAGCCACCATTCCAGAAACGTTTCATAATATAAAGCGGTTCTCTCTCTTCCCAGGTGGCCCGACATGCAAACGCCATTCCCCAGGGCATTTCTGCCTCTGCAGCCCTTAGGCCTTCTGCTCCTGGAAGAAAGTGTTTGAGCAGTGTGTTGTGGTCTGGGCCTCCTCAAGCAAAATGCTCCTTCAGCACCAGTAAGTTTACCATCACTTGGTTGTACCCTGGGCAAAGAATGTCATGTTTCCTTCATGGTTGCCAGGAGGAGGTCTGGTGGTGCCGTGGGTTAAGCATCAGGCTGTTAACTGCAAGGTTGGTAGTTCAAACCCACTCAGCGATTTCACAGGATGAGAATACCTGATGCTCTACTTCTATAAAGATTCCTGCTGAGAAAACCCTACAGGGCAGGTGTACTCTCACATAGGGTCTCTGTGGATAGTTGAGATCAAGTGATAGCACCTAACAACAAATCATTGAGGGGTCTGAGATGAAGAACTCAGGTGCCTTTTGAGCTTGACCTATGTGGATGGGTGTCTTCTGATATCCCGGTTGCTGGCTGCAGAACCAGCTTGTGTTGTGGAACTTGCCCTGGTGGGTGAGGAACATAACTGGTTTTGGAGTTACTCTCTGTTTTCTGGGATGTGGGCTTTGCTGCTGGCAGCCTGAGAGAATGAGTAGTATAGTTTCGATTTGTTCCACCTTTGAAAAAGCATGTCCTAGGGGGTTTCAATAACGTTTGTGGGAAAATTCGAGTTATCTTTTCATTCCACTTTTCCTGAACTTTGTGAACCCCCCCCCCTTGTTATTTAAAATGTAATAACTTTGGGAATGTGCTTTAGCAAAGCCTCTATTTGTGGGTGCTAAAAAGTTCCCCAGTTTTACTACTCTGGAGCTTTAAAGGATTCACATAGTGAGTTACAAGTTGGGCTGCTAATCATAAGTCCACTAGGTACTCCGTGGAAGAAAGATGAGGCTTTCTGTTCTTGTAAAGACTCACAGCCTCATAAATCCTGTACAGACTTGCTGGGTGGAAACCAACTCTCCCTGTAGGCAGACTGCATTGTGCTGTGTGCCTCGGGTACTGTGTGTGATGTACCAATCGAAGGGTTGTGTTGCACCTGTGTCACACCAAGTCTATTGGAGCCATTTCCTAACCCCGTGTGCTTAGTTCTTGTGGCTGTCACATTTTGGTAGTTCTCACAGCATTTCAGATGTTTGGAGAATGTTGTCGCACACTTGAGTAGACGCAGTAGAGTGTAAGCTTGACGTTTATGTGCATTGGGAAGCCAAAGATTCCATGTGACTCGCTTTGCTGTGATTCTGGTTTTTTGCAGTGGCCTGGAACCGAACCCACAGTCTGAGGTTTGCATTTCATTCCACAAGTTTAAAATGCCCACCCTGCCTGTTCCTCCTCTCTTTGTCTTTTTCCTTGAAAACTCACATTTTATTGATGAGTTTATATACAATTCATATCTGTATAGAACTGCTGCAATAAAATTATGTGTCATCTGCCATCAGAGAAACAAGAACTGCTACCTATATTTATGAGAAGGAAGTCTTTTTGAAAAAACTTCTTATCCATGAATTGAGTGAAGGTTTACAAAGCAGATCATTAGTTTTTCGTTTAACAAATCATGCATTTTCTGTTTCATCTCAGTGATTATAGTTCCCTCCATGTGACAACAGCTAGCTCACTTCTTTCCTGTGGTTCTAATTTCCATTGCACCCTCCTTTTCAACCTTTCTGAACTTTATCCTTAGGTAAATGTTGAACTTTTGGTCTTGAACAGTTGGCCATTTCATGGTGAGCATATCTTACTAGCGTTGTCCTCCTTATATTGGTTGAAAATTGAGCTATGAGGTTCAGTTCCATTCCAGACCTATAAAAGTGTGGCTGAAGGTTCTTCCAGCCTTTTTCTGACCAGTAGGCTGGAAGATGTTGAGTTTTGTTCCACATTGTCTTCTACTCTGTCTGGGACCTTCTAATGGGACCTCTTTCAGAGCAGTGGGTAATGGCTGCCAGGTACCATGTAGTTCTTCTGGTCTCCGAGTCATGAAGACTGGTGTTCCTGTGTTCCATTAGTCCACCAGACAATTGATTCCAGGCTTCTTCAGTTTTCATCACTCTTCTTTCTTCTGTACATGGAGAGACCAGTAGCTACACCTTAGATGGTTGCTCATTAACTTTCAAGATTCCAGACTCTACTCATCAAAATAGAATGCCGAATATGGTCTTTGTGGACTGTATTATACCAGTTGGCTATGGTGTCCTTTAACAATACGGTCCCAAGCTCAGCAACTTGTTGCCTCAGGGCGTTTGGTAACAATGTCTAAGGGAGTCCTGGTGTGGCGCTATAGAATAAGCGCTGGACCTCAAGGCTGATTTAAAACACGTGACTCGGTGGTTCATACTCAACTAGGGCAGCCCCACAGTGAAGCCCAGGCATGGTGATACTTGGTCCCCTTTGTCCTCCATCCCCTGGCAGATACACGTTCTCTCCCGTTTTGCCACATCTTATGCATCCATTCCTTCTCTGCCACACCCCTTCCCTCAGCAGCCCTCACATAGATAACTCGCATCAGTGTCTCCTCCTGGCCAGGCTAATCTTCTTAACTACAGCTCTCTCGTCTTCGGTCTCCATGTAAGTGTGCCCAGCGACTCCGTTGCCTCTCCTTTCAGAACACACTCATGTGCTCAGTGTTTAGGGGCCCTCACAGCATGACCTTCACCTGTCCCTGCCTGCTTTGTTTCCCCGTGGTATGGCCCCCAAACACCTCTGCATTCTGCTCTGATGAGACTGCCCTTGGCTGCCCTCACACACCATGTTTCTTCTTCCTCTCTCTGTCCCATCTGGACTGAGCAAATCTACACCATATTTAATATCGTGTCTCACGTCTATCCCACCTCCTTCCTTACGATGTTCTACCTTGCTCTTTTCGTTAGCATTCTGTGTGCCATCAAGTCACTTCTGACTCATAGCTTGTATTCTTGTTGTTGTTAAGTGCCGTCGAGTCGGTTCCGACCCATAGCGACCCTGTACAGGGTTTCCCAGGGTGTAAATCTTTACGGGAGTAGAAAGCCTCATCTTTCTCCTGCAGAGCGGCTGGTAGTTTCGAACCGCTGACCTTAAGGTTCGCAGCCCGATTCGTAACCACTACACTACCAGAACTCCTTTCATAGCTTGTATAGGGTTTCTGAAAGTGACTGGTGAATTGGACTCATTTTGTTTCCGTAGTACTTTGAATTAAAGTTGTCTACTTTTCCCACCGTGGAAGGGAATAAGAATTACTATATCAAATATGTGCAGGGGAGCTGAACTGTTGAATGGATTATGTATGCTGTCAAGTTGATTCAACTCTTACCCACCCCATAGGACCTAGCAGAACCGCCCCACAGGCTCTCATGTCTTTCTCTGGCAGAGTCACTAAGGGGTTTGAACTACCGACCTTGTGGTTACCATCAGGGCTCCTGTTTACTGACTGATACTCATGAATGACTGGGAGGGCTTTCAGTAAAATCAGATGTGGCTTGATTCAGCCCTTGGTGATCTGTGTCCGGTGTGGCCTTTGCAGGTCCCTCACGCCTTGTCCCTGCTGTCACCCAACATGCGCCCTATTTTAAGGGCACGGCCGTGGTCAATGGAGAGTTCAAAGAACTGAGCCTCGATGACTTTAAGGGAAAGTACTTGGTGCTCTTCTTCTACCCTTTGGACTTGTAAGTGTCATTTCTCTGTGGCTGTAATGTCATTCTGAGAGCCTGTTCATCCATGGAAGGAGGCCTCCAACCCTGGGTCACTGATGGCCTTGTTGAGCACCTAGCTAATTTAAGAGGATAAACGGGAAAGGACAGTGCAGTGAAGTCCTTTCAAGGATTGGATGTGAACGTGGCTGTACGCTACGGGGTCCCCACAGCCCAGCCTATGGGAAGTTTTCACTCATCTGAGGGCACATGAGAAAAGGAAGAGTGAAGTGAGCTTTTTTCATAAAGCTAAATTTTTTGTAAATACATTTTTACTTTAGTCTTAGAATCTGTCCTCTTCCCTCCCTTAATCTTTGGTAAGATTTCATACATGATAAGGTAGTAGCCCCTGGTGGTCTTTTCTTGAGTAAAGTTGATGTCCCCTCATGACATGGGGTCTGCCCTGTGAGGATAATTAGCCATTTTGCCCTTTTCACCCGGAAGCCAATTGAGCTAGTTTCTGTTCCTACTACTTTTTGTTCCTATCTTTACATCATTGTTTTTAACTTTTCTGACGAGACTTTCTGCCCTTTTTCCTAGCACCTTTGTGTGTCCTACAGAAATTGTGGCTTTTAGTGACAAAGCCAACGAATTTCACGATGTGAACTGTGAAGTCATTGCTGTTTCGGTGGATTCCCACTTTAGCCATCTTGCCTGGATCAATACACCACGGAAGGTATGGCACTTTGTACGGTCTTAAACCCGGGACCAATCCCATGAGGGACTGATGAGACGCTCTTAAAGCAGGGCTCGTGTGCAAGGGGCTGTTTCTAGGATCTTACTGCTCATGACGCAGTCTGCTCAAACCCCATCTTGAGCTGACAGGGAGGTCACCACCTCTGTGTTCCTCCTCACCACGTGTGTGCTGATGTCCCCTCTTACCTGAAGTCTGGACTCCACATGGTTCATGGAGGGAGGAGCAGGGTCAAAACTTGCTGCAGAGACTCAAAATGCCTAACTGTTCTTCCTGAACTCTCCATATCTACTGGTTCAGAGGGTTCCTGTGTTCCTCTGTTTTAGAAATTAGTCTTCAACTAAAAAGATGCCATAAGAATTGGAGCAAGAAAACTCGGTAGTATTGTTGTTGGGTGACGTTGAGTCTGTTCTGATACTGACCAGCCCTGTAGTAGAGGATGGGTTCAAATCCTGCCTCGCCCTTTTCTTGCTGTGATGTGAGGTAACTTACTTTGTCTCCCTCTGTTTGCTCATCCCTAAAGTAACTATGATAATAGTCTCTCCTGCTAGATTGGAGGCTCCCCGTGTGGCGCTGTAGGACCGCGGGTTCCATTTGAACCACAAAGTCTCTGCTCAAACTCACCAGCCCCTCCGTGGAAACCCGACACTGGGTCACTGTAAGTCAGAACAGACTCGATGGCACTTAACAACAATAACAGCTGCTAAGTGTTTGCACAAATGGAATGTCAACAGAAGAGCTCACCACAGTGCCTGGCCATGGTTCCTATCGTTACCTATCTCAACTATTGTGGGGCTCAGACGTGGTGTTTCATGGTCAAGAGTGTGAAACCACACAGTGTAGTAACCAGTTGTGTTTGCATTTTTATTAGGACGGTGGTCTGGGCCACATGAACATCCCACTCTTGTCAGATTTAACGAAACAAATTTCCCGAGACTACGGCGTGCTGTTAGAAAACCCTGGTCTTGCACTCAGGTGAGATTCTGGTACTTAAAGAACTTAAACTTGTTTTTAGCATTTAGCATCATCCTCATTCCCAGGGGATTTATATAGACTTTGGTAAACCATTTTTAAAGTTTTAAGTTTTTGACTAATCCCTGCCAACCTGCCTCCAGCCAGGGCTGCCAGATTTTCAGAAAAAGCTGACCTGTGTGTCCCTCTCCACTCTTGTTTCACTGTCTCAGAAAACCTCTGTCTTGTTGGCCCCATCGCTCCCAAACCACCCTGCAGCTACTTGAGATGGGGGGCACCAGCTGGGTGAAACAAGAGGTTTGAAATGGTTCAAGTCTCACCTAAGCCCTGAATCAAATACACTTGGGTTTGATTTTTTTTAATTCTGCTACTTAATAACTTTTTTATTTTATTTTTTAGACTCTTACTTAGTGGCTGGGGGTCCTGCTGGACTGAAAAGTCAGTTTGAACTGCAAGGTTGGCAGTTCAAGCTCACCAGCCTCTCCTCAGAAACCCTATACGGGGTCAGTTATGGGATGTAAACCGACTCTATGGCACTTAACAGCAACAACTTAATAGCTGGGAGTCCTGGTGTGGCACTATAGGATAAGCACTGGATCACTGGGTTGGTTTTGAACCACAAAGTTGGTGGTTCAGGCTTACCAGCTGCTTCTCAGAAAAACTCTATACAGGGTTGCTATGAGTTGGTACCGACTCAATTGCATTTAACAACAACTTAATATCTGGGTGACTTGGGTTAAGTTATGTTTTATTACTTTGAGTCTTGCCTCCTTCCCCTCACTCCTGTTTTTTTTCCCATAGCTAACACCAGGAAGTAGCTCACAGGTTAAGTTGTGAGGATTAAATACGACTGGTACCTGGTAGCTTTTGTTATAACTCCCATCCCCGAATGTCATTCCTGTCCTCATTCATTCAGTGACTAACCCTTTATTCCACTGAATGTAAAAAACTTTCTGTCTTCAGCAGCCTTCCTGGGTGGGCTGAGAACCCTGGGTGGGCAGTTCAGTGACCACTGAGAGCAAGGGTGGGCCAGGAGGAGAAGCCCCATCTGGATCGGCCTCACAGCTTTGCGAGGGCTGACTCGAAGCAGCACACCGGCTCTTTCTTGTGGCTGCCCTCTGGCCTGTTCTACTCCTGCTCACTCCTGGAATCTTAGTGCTGGAAGGCATTTGGAGCTGGGAACTTTTTGACTCCAAGGAACTGAAGGTTTTCCTTTTACCAGTAAAGCCTGGCTCTTGACAGTACTGGCCTTTCCCCCTTTAGGTTCCCTGCCCTGTGGGGTCTCCTAAATTGGCAGCCACCTCCCTACTGGTTGCAACATAATCAGGGTTAACAAGGGAGAGAGCCTGAGTCTGGCTCAAAAGATAAGGCTTTCTTTCTGAGTAAGATAAGGCTTTCTTTCTGAGTAAGATAAGGCTTTCTTTCTGAATTGTGGGCCCTGCTCACCTTCATCTATTTGTGCAGTGGAGTCCAGCTTGGAGTCTTGCCCCAGGGTCTGTGAGGCCTCCAAGCCTGGACTCCGCAAGTAGTGGACCCAGGGTGGATGAAGCACCTGTTTACCCTGTGGATCTTCCCCAACTTTGCCTGTTCCCCATGTGATTTAACACTAAGAATGCCCCCATTATTTTAAGATGGACTCCCTTGCCCTGGGCAAACATTGGCATGTACTCCAGCAATACCAGCAGCTGTATGCCAGAGAGGGACACAGACCACTGGTGAACCAGGTGGTCATCTCAGTGCATGGCTGCTAAATGATGAGAAGTAGTGGCCTGCTGTCCCTTTAGAGTTCTGCTTTTGCATAGGCTTAAAGCCAGCACATTCTTCCTGCAAAGATTTTCCCATGGGATTTCACCCTGTTCACCAGGAATTCACTCATGTAGTAAATGTTTGTTGATTACAGATCAAATACAGCTCTGTCCAGTCCCATTTGTCTATGGTTTCTTGCCAAGATTTGACATGACAACCCAAGGAATGCTTCTGACTAAAGGCTGCTTGCTCTTAACTCAGTGACTGTGACTTATGTGACATTCAGAGCACATATTTTGATTTGTAAATGTGACACACCATACTGTATTTTTCCATGGTGTCCTGGTCCAATCTCACCATGTTAATGCATTTGTCATTGAGAAGAGACAGTAAGCTTTGTGGCTAAAAATCAAGCAAACTCCTTGCTCTGGAGTCACTTCAGACTCATCGTAGCCTGTAGGACAAGGTTTCCGAGGCTGTCATCTTATGGGAGCAGATAGCCATATGGGTTCACACTGCTCATCTTTCAGTTAGCAGTCAAGCACATAAACCACTGTGCCACCAGGGCTCCTAAGCTTTGTGTACAACAGTGAAAACATCATATTTAAGCAAATGCTGCTGCTGCTGCTGCTATTAGATGCTGTCAAGTCCGTTCTGACTCATTGTAACCCTGTATAGGGTTCTGAGGAGTAGCGGTGGGTTTGAACCACCAACCTTGCAGATACAGTCTAGTGCCTATCCTACAGTGCTACACCAGGACTAATACTTAATAAATGTATTTGTTAAGGAGAATTAGCCCTAAAAAGGTAGAAGTTCCTGGTTCTGGTGCTGTTGGTACTAATGAGGCTCCATTCTGGTTCAGAGGTCTCTTCATCATTGACCCCAACGGAGTCATCAAGCACCTGAGTGTCAATGATCTCCCTGTGGGCCGGAGCGTGGAGGAGACCCTCCGCTTAGTGAAGGCATTCCAGTTCGTGGAAGTCCATGGAGAAGTCTGCCCAGCAAACTGGACCCCTGATTCCCCAACAGTAGGTTTCATTTCCAAAAGTGGTAGACTTGAGGGTTCCAGGTCCTCCCCACCTAAAGGTTGGTGGTCTGGAGTAGCCACAGGAAGAACCCTCCGAAAGCCTATCCTTGGAGCAAGGGTGCAGAGGGACTGGCAGTGGGTGAAGCTCCTGAGGGTGGGGACCAGGCAGAGTTGCTGTCAGGATGCTTCAGGAAAATGGGAAAAGAACTTTCACCCATGTATTTTAAAGAAACTAGATCAGTCTTTTTATAAAAACTCTTAAGAACTTTAGGTTAAAAATTGGGAGTTTTCAGTTTCCTTTTGTGACTATTATCATAAAGCCAATAGTTACCCAGTTAAATGTCTTCCCCTGCTTTCAGATCAAACCAGACCCGACTGCTTCCAAAGAATACTTTGAGAGAGTGAATCAGTAGGTCATCTCGTGTGCACCTGTAGCTGTGTGTGCCAGTGGAGAACCCCACGCTGGGCTCACTGCTAGCATTTCCGAGACGACGGCTTTGTTTAGTAACATTGGCTACGACGGCTTTGTAAACATGACTAATTAGAATGTCTATCTCACCTCCTCCTCGGATCATGTCTTCAATGAGAAAAAGAAACACTCGTCATGCTTAGCCTCACTTGCACCTTCGTGTATGCCAGAGTAGCACAGCCAACGTTGGAAACTTCTGATCAAGGTCCTGAAATTCTCTACTTATATCAAATGGAATATTCTTGTAAGATACCAGAGATCACTGTTTTAAGTTGTTAGCATCAGCAGTGTGTGTACTCTTGGGATGGGTGTGGATGTGATGAAAACTGATGTGAATCATGTTTTGAAAACTCCGATGGTGGCCAAGTGACCTAACTGATCACACATGATCCCCGCTCCTGAGATCAGGGTTACATGGTGGTTTTATTAGTGTACTCATTAGATGACTTAGTTTTCTGTATTCATTTGTAGAGATTGATTGGCGTGATTATCAAGGATATTTATTAAGTCCAGGGATTACTGCATTTTGAAATCACTGTAATTGTTTTCTCTCTTGTGCTCAATGTAAAGTATATAATAAATTAACGTATTTTAAAGTATTGGACATTTTTGATGCATTTATTTTAACTTCTATTCTGGGGCTGTAGTTTTTCTTCTGTGGCTGTGGCAACAATTGAGCATTTGACTTGGGTGCCACAAAGGTGAGTAAAAAGTCGGCTCCACACTCAAGGAGCTAAGTAGGGCACCAGACAGACGGCAAAACATTTATTCATGTTTTCAATACATTTTTGTGTCTCAAAGGCCAAGCACTGTTCAGGAGGGACAAGAGTGAAGCAAAAAGAAATTCCCATCTTTGTGCCCTGACATCCTGGAGAGAGAGAGACAACATAATGAAAATGTGTGAAATGATTGGAAAGAAAACAAAGCAAGAAGCTAGATTCCAGATGTTCTAGTTAGGGCAGGCCTCTTGAGAAAATCAGTCCCTCCAGGTGAAGTTTGGCATCTGTGAAATGAAGAATACAGTATTTTTCTGTCTCTCTCAAGATTTTGTTGTGGCTCAAATGTGATAAAATGTAAAAAGTGAGAGTTTGGAGCTAAGGGTCCCAACCAGAGGGCCTGGTGAGTGTGAAGGCCTCGAGGCAGGAACTAACTTAGCCTGAAGGGTGAGGGAGGAGAATGGTAGTGGGGTCAAGAGAATTAAGGACTTTGGGTTCTGTGTTCTGAGACACTTATGGTTTTGAGTCATTTGTTCTGGGATTACTTGGTAGGAGGTGTGACACAAGGGCAGACCCTGTGCCAAGCACCAAGATTCACTACATCTCTACTTGGGGTGTGATAGAAACCCTGAGGAGGGGTCATCCCACTCAGCCATGGGAATCACATAAGGTGTTCTGGAAGAACGGAGAAGTGAGCAAGGTGCCCATATAGAAAATGGTCTACAGGGTACCTAGAAGTCCCGTGAACCTGAAGAAAAGCCATGAACATTTTATGTTCCAGGATTGGCAAGACCAGGGTTGGGGCGGAATGGGTCGTGGATGTCTGAGCATGGCCAATACTGAGCATTCCCAACACAGCCAGCTGTCAGTTAAGGGCTCTCCCTAGTGTTGCCTCCTCTGATCCTCAGCAAAGCTCTGAGGTAGGTACAACTCATGTGACAGCTGAAACCTAAATGCAGAGAGAAAAGTGCCCAGCTCACCACTAAGGAAGCGGTGGTGCTGTGCCTCCAAATCAGGACTCCTGATTTGCCCCTGAGCACCCTGAACACTTAACGACTTCCAGGAAATCAACTGCACACGCACACCACCACCCACCCCAGGCTCAGAGGGCTGTGGGCCGGGGCATTTCCCCCAACAAACAGTCTCTGCTTGACCTGGGTCTCAACAGAAGGAATTGGATTTGGCCCGCAGGCTTGGGACAGGGCTATATGCACAGATGAGCCTGGGCTTATGAAATGCTTTGCGTTCTTGAAGTTCTTAATGGCATTTTAATAAGAGACATTGCATTTTCTTTTTTTGTGTGACTTTTGTTTTAGGTGAAATTTTACATAGCAAATTAGATTCCCATTCAACAAATCTTACACAAATTGTTCCCTGACATTGGTTACAGACTCCAGAATCTGTCAGCACCCTTGCCATTTGCACACCTGGCCCTTTGTATATATCTAATTTTCCTGTCCTCACAGCATTATTGTTTATGTTATAGGTCAAGCTATTACTTGGTTGATTGGTGACCTCCAGAAGAGTCTTCAGTTCCAGATTACTAGGGTGTTTTAGCACAGTAGTCTTGAGGGTTCCTCTAATAAGCCTGGCCTTTATGAATTGGAGGAGCAGGTGGTGGCCTTGAACTACCAACCTTGTGGTTCTCAGTTCAATGCATATCCTTAATTATGTTGAGGAATTTCCCTTCTGTTCCTGTCTTGCTGAAGAGTTTTTATCAGGAAAAGGCATTGGATTTCTGCATCAATTGAAAGGCTCATGTGATTCTTTTCCTGTTTATGTGATGAATTTGGTTGATTTACTGTCTAATGTTAAACCATCATTGCATACCTGGTATGAATCCTATTTGGTAATGATATATTGTTGTTGAGTTGGTTCTGACTCAGTGACCCAGTATAGGGTTTCCAAAGAGCGGCGGCTGGTAAGCTTGAACCGCCAACCTTGCAGTGAAAACAAACTTTGCAGTCCAGCTCATTAACCTGAAGCGCCACACCAGGACTCCAATAATGTGTTCATGCTATTATATTTTGTTGGTGAGGATTCTGTTGAGAATTTTTGCATCTATATTTCATGAGTTCTATGTTTTCAATGCTTTCTAGCCCGTTCTGACTCATAGCAATTCTGTAGATGGTTCCTGAGGCTTGAAATCTTTGCAGGAGCAGAAAGCTTCCTTCTCCCGTAAAGCAGCTGTTGGACTTGAACCGTAGTTCACAGTTTCGCCCACACTCATAAGGGATATTTTTGTGTGTGATATCTTATCTGGCATTGGTGTTAGGGTTATGCTTCCTTCGCAGAATGAAATTAGATACTATTCTTTGCTGGTTTGGAATAATTTGGGTGCCAGGTGTCGTGGTGTAACGATGTGGGTTAATGTGCTGGACTGCCAAGTCAGTTTGAACATTAAGGTCAGTGGTTCAAGTTTGCCAGCCCCTCCTCGAAAACCCTATACAGAGTTGCTATAGGTCGGAACCGACTCTAGGTCACTTAACAATTGGTGCCAACTCTTCTTTGAATGTTGGGTAGAATTCTCCAGGGAAGCCATCTGGGCTGGGGTCTTTTATTGTTGGGAGTTCTCCCGCCCCCCCATAACCTCTTAATTTCCTTAGTTATGAATCTATTCAGGTTTGCCACCTAGGCATTAGTTTAGGTAGGTAGGTTGAGTCTACACATTTTTACTTCTCAGCGAGCACTGCATTATGTAGAGGGTCCTCCTACCCTATACTGTTTATACTGAACTTTGTGGGCAATAGGAAAGATTTTCCGGGGTCACGTCCCAAAGAGCCCTGTAAGATGTGGCAGGAAACCGAGGCCGTAAAGGGCCTCCCGCACCTTACGGGGTCACCGTGGTAGGTAAAGTGACCTGGGGGCTCCGGAGAGATGACCCTCTCCCATCAGGCCACCCCACGGTGCGGAGCAGGCTGCGTAGATTGGGAGGACTAGGCCTGTGGGCGGGAGCGGGCCCGGGGTGAGCGGGAGACGCGGGCTGGTAAGACGTGAGAGGCTGGGAGACTGGCCCGGGGCGAGCGGACGAGGCGGAGCACACGCCGGCTCCTCCCCCGCGCGGCCGCAGGAAGAGGAGGAGGAAGCACCGCCCTCATGGAGCCCAACGTGCGTTTCTGGATCAGCGAACGCCAAGTACGGCCCGGGGCGGGGCGGGGCGGGGCCGCGGGGCTAGCACGGGCCGGGGGAGCGGGGGTGCAGTGTGGAGTCCGGATGCCCTGGCACGCGTTGCCCACCCGGGCCTGGACGCCTGGTGCCAACCACGTGGCCGCTCTGCGCTGCGTGTCCTCGCCCCGGAAGTGGGCTTGGAGCGCGCCCCCACCTGCCACACTTCGGGCCCGCAGGCGTGTAAGGGCCCCGGTGAAGACGAAGGGGGAAACCTGAGCGTCTGTTTGACGCCCATGACCACGCTGTCACCGTGGTCATCGCCTCAGACCTAGGTTGATGCAGGCTGGGCTGGCACAAGGTCACCGTCTGGATCGCCCTTCGCAGGTGTCCGCTCTCTGGCGCCTGTGCCGTTCCTGAGCGGTAGCTGGGAGCAGTCTCCAAACCTTGGTTGGCTCAGCGCTCAGACAAGGGACTGGTCTACCCTGCCTGCCCTGTAGAAGACATAGTCTGTAAGCTACAGAGGTGACTGAACATGCCTGCGCTGCACTTAAAAAAGGCAAAAAGAAACATGGAATTAATTTTACACTTAACAACAACATAGCCTGAGCCCGTGAAAGGTGGAAACTGAGGAAAAACGCAAATATTTTACGCTAACGGTGATTGAAAAGCAGTAAGACTGCATGTATCCTGTCAAAGGTGGAAAACTTGGGAGACTCGGAAAAAACGAGGCAGCCCCACCAAGTTTGGATTTCACAGATATCACTGTATTTTGCATTTAACCCAGTTAAGTGTCTGTGGGCTCAAGTTCCGACTGGTAGATCGTTTGTGAGGAGCTACTGATAAGTCTAGTGCTTGTCCTACAGAGCCACACTAGGACCCCACGATCATTTCAACATGAAATCAACAAAAATATGGAGATGTCTCATATCCTTTTGTATGAAGTCACCAAATCCAGCGTACATTTTACACCTAGGCATGTTGTCTCAGTTGGGCCCAGGCACATGTCAAGTGCTCCCTGGGCACAAAGTTGTGACTAGGGTGTTGTCTTTCAGGCCCTTACTTAAATAAGACCTAACCCTTCTTTTTAAAACATTGTGCTTTGGGTGAAAGTGTACAGAGCACCATAGTTTCCCATTCAACAATGTATACACATTTTGTTTCATGACGTTGCTTGCGATCCACGGGATATAACAGCAGCCTTCCCACATGCTGCATTCCCTGAGTCCCTTCATTCTCTCCTACCCCTTCCTGCTTCTGAGCTTTGCTAGGCTTTTTTTTTTTTTTTTTTTTGGACTGTGGGGAAACTGAGTTGGGGCAGGAGTCCAAGCCAGGAAAGTGGAGACATTTAGGAGCTTGTTGTAGCAGCCCCGCCTCCTTCCTGCACCTGTGACCCTGGCTATGCTATCCCTTCCTGGGCTGGGCAGGTCTTTATTTGTGGAGTTAAGTCTTAAAACATCTGTGAGGGGGTGAGGAAAGAGATTCTGAAGCATTTCCAGGTGCTTTCTTCCAGACCTTGTGTGGGATGCTCAGGGTTATGTTTGGGATAGAACACAGGCCCGATTCTCCCCAGTGTCTGGGCTTTAAACACTCAGGAGCAACTTAGTACTGAAGTACAGGCATCGGCATAGCTCAGAGATGTTTCCAGTTCAGTTCCAGACCATGGCAGTAAAGCCAATCAAGCAATAAAGTGAGTCCCATAGATTTTTTTTTTTGGTTTCCCAGTGCATTTGTTGTTGTTAGGTGCCATCGAGTCAGTACTGACTCATAACGACCCTGTGCACAACAGAATGAAACACTGCCCAGTCCTGTGCCAACCTCACAATTGCTGCCACGCTTGAGCCCATCGATGCTGCCGCTTTGCGAATCCATCTCACTGGGAGTCTTCCTCTTTTTCTCTGACCCTCCACCTTACCAACCACGATATATAAGAGTTATATTTATAGTATCGCATAAGCCATTAAGTATGTAATAGCATTATGAAAAGTTTTGCAATATAATGAGAATGACCCAGATATGACCCAGAGAAATGAAGAGCACATGTTGTTGTTAAGTACCGTGGAGTCGGTTCCGACTCACAGTGACCCTGTACAGGGTTTCCGAGGCTGTAAATCTTTACGGGAGCAGAACGCCTCATCTTTCTCCCGCGGAGCAGCTGGTAGTTTCGAATTGCTGACCTTGTGGTTCACAGCCCGATTCGTAACCACTACGCTACCAGAGTTCTTTGAAGAGCACATACTGCTGGGAAAATGGCACTGATGGACTTGCTTGACGCAGCGTTGCTACGATCTGTTAAGAAAGTGCAGTACCTGTGAGGTGCAGTGACATGAGGTCTGCCCGTCTTTAAGAGGACAGACTGAAGACTCGTTTCCTAGCTTGTGTTGCTCTGAGTACATTAATGAGCCTAGAGCCTCAGTGTCCTCACCTGTGGAATGGGCTTATCATGACATGATGCAAGGAAAAGACAGAAAGTGATGCCCAGGGCTCTGCCCACTGAAGCCAAACCTCCGGCCTTCAAGCTGGTTTTGACACAGCAATTCTCCAGGATAGAGCAGAACTGCTCCATAGGGTTTCCAAGGCTGTAAATCTTTACAACGGCAGACAGCCTCATCTCTCTCCTACAGGGCAGCTGGGGGATTTGAACCACCAACCTTGTGGTTAGTGGCTCAATGCACCACACACTGTCCTACTAGGACCCTAGTTGGTTTTCAAAAAAAAAAGAAGTTAATTATTATTATGTGATATCTTTGTTTTTCTACTGCCATTAACCTCTGGGTTTTTGTTTGTTTTTTTTCTCCTCTTAAGTCTTTTGTTCAAAGATTTCTTCTATGGACAGAATTATTAGACCCTACAAATTTGGTCATTTCAATTGTAAGTATTATCTTAGTTTCAGAGATAATGGATTTCCCATTTTATTCTGAAACTTGAAGATTGTGTGTTCCCCTCCCCTGCCTTTTAATTGTTAAATCACGTCTCCCTTTTGAAAGCAGTAAAACAACAGACTCTACATATTAGTATGTTTTATTTCTGTACATTAGACAAATGATAAATAGAGTATATCTATCTATATCTCTATACAACAGGTAATGCTAAGCCCTGGGCCAGATGCTGGTGAATCAAAGAGAATGAAAACAAACCTCTGTGTAACAGAAGACACCTAGCAATGCTGGACACAGACCCGGAGCTTGGGTTCTAGAGGAGGGATGTGGCAGGGAATTGGAGGAGCCCTACTCATCTGTCAGTTTGGTCCACTAGTCTGCCAGTTTGTCGTACTGTGGCGGCTTGTGTGTTGCTGTGATGCTAGGAGCTTTGCTACTGGTATTTCAAATACCAGCAAGATGAGCCGTGGTGGAGAGGTTTCAGCTGAGCTTCCAGACTAAAACACACTAGGAAGAAAGGCCTGCCTGGTGATTGGCTTTAGAAGATAACAGTGAAAACTGTTGGATCATAGCAGAATCTTGTCCAGTATAGTACTGGAAGAGCAGTCCCCTAGGTTGGAAGGCACTCAACAAAGGACTCTGGTCATGAAGATGACCATGAATTGGAACCCATCTGTGGGTGGAGTGGTTGAGGGAAGACTGAGGTGAGAGAAGCAAAGAGGAAACATCAGAGAGGAGAGATGGCTGTAGGCAGAGCTCAAGGTTAAAGAACAGACCACAAAGCCTCGGAGCTCTTCCTGCTGGGAGGGGAGGCAGACCTTTAAGCGTCTTGTGTGATGTTCGGACTAGAGGAGATTGCACTGATTCTACAGGACAAGCAGTGAGATGAGGCCGCTTGTATTTCAGAGGGTCTCTTTGTGGTTGTGTATTGAGGAACCAGAGAAGACCAGGCAATAGGTGACGCCATCAGTTCTGGGGGTGACTCAGTGTCCAAATGGAAGGCGGATAGCCCCAGGTGTGTCTGGGGGATGAAGAGGAGATGCCTGGTCACCTGCACTAACCCTTCTCTGAAGGAGACAAACGGACACGCCTGTACCTGTGCTCAAGATGGTCCAAACAGCCTTATATATGGTAGGAAAAGACAGAACAGCCTGAATGCCATCCATATGGAAACAGACAGAATGTGGTGCGTTCATACATGAAATTCTGATTAGCTGTTAAAAGTGATGGATCCGGTAGATGTCATATGTTAAATGTATGTATACAATGTCTATGTAATTTTTAGTGGGGAAAGCAAGATGCATAAATGATAACATTTTAGCATACTCATTAAATAACACCATGTAGTCAAAGATTAACAGCCTGGGAAACCCTGTGCAGGGTCACTATGAGTCGGAACCAACCCCATGGTACTTAACAACAACAACAACAGTCATGTATTGTTGTTAGCGTCTGTTGAGTTGACCTGTGTGTGTCTTAGGCTGGGTTTTCTAGAGAAGCAAACCAGTGAAGTGTGTGTGTGTGTATACATATATATGGAGAAATTGATTATCTTACAATTGCAGAGTCCCAAGTTCCCCACAGAACAGAGAGAGAAAGAGACCCGCCCACGTGCCCACACCCCCAAAGAAGCATCCCTTCAATAGATTGGCTGCTCATAGCCACTTACCATAAGCTAACTATGCCTGTATTTGGTTTCATCGCCATGGGAATAAGCACATCTCAACTGCGAAACCTCTGGAAATCCTGGCCTAGTTGAGGTGACAGGACCCTAAGCATTACAGCCCCTGACTCATGGAGACATAGGACTGAGCCAAATGCTGCTTGATTGTACCAAAACCATGATCAGTTGCAGCTTGGACTTGTGTTATCCCTAGATTGGCACTGGCTAATGCCTGTGAGTATATTGTTCAGCCTCCCTTCTTCCTCATCTCTCTTAGTCTGGAAGCACTGCTGAACCTATTCAGCATCATAACAACACACATGCCTTCACTGATGGGCAGGTGGTGGCTACTCATGAGATTCATTGGCTGGGAATCAAACCTAGGTCTTCAGCATGGAAGGCAAGAATGCTACCACTGAGCCACCAAGTAAATGGCCCTCAAGAATGTGCCCAGCACTCTTAACAGTGGTCCCTTCAGTGTTAAGGTAGAATGAGGAGGGAAATGAGACTGAGTGGTGGGGGTGGGCGATGGTTATCTGTTGTGTTTTTCTTACCATTTTACTGTGACTTGAGTGAAGCTTAACAGACAAGATCATCAGCTTTACCCTCAACAAATCATACGTTTTGCTTCATCTCAATGATTACACTCCCCTCCCTGCAACAACAGTTACCTAGTTACCTGCTTCCTCCCTGTGGCTTCCCTTTTACATCTTATTTTTCAGGTTATTTTTTTTTTGGGGGGGGGGGGAGGTGGAGAGGGTATGAGAAATATGATGGAATGTTTACAATTGTCAATTCCAAGTGTTGGGATTATGAGTGTGAATTGGGCTTTGAAATGTATATTTTCCTACATCTAAATTTATTTTCTCAAATTAAGAATATGACAGAAGGGGCTTCAAAAAATTCATGGAAAAGTGGAATGAAAAGAGAATGGAATTATTCCACAAACTTTTTGAAGCCCTCTCGTGCAAGAAGAGAGGGAAGCCAGACTGGATGGACAAGACTGGGCCTGGGGTGAATGAGAGGGAAAGGGCCTCCAGGGTTCTGGTGCAACTCTGGGCGGGTGGTGGGTGGTGTGTTCCCTGGGACAGCTACTGTCAGAAAAGGAGCTGTGCAGTAAGGCAGTGGAGGTATCTGGGAAGCAGGGAGGTCTCCATCTGAATTACCCCCGGGATGATCTGAATTACACGTGGCAACTCAGGAGGTGGAGGGCCTCAGCCTCCCTGCTGTGGGGAAGTCTGCGCTTCCTCTGACATCCTCTGTGTACTGGTGAATGTGTGGGCCCTGCAGTTGTGGATGCATCTGAACAATGATGAGAATGTAACTTGAGTTCTTTTTATCTGATTGTAGGAAAAAGTAGAAAAATTGAGGCAACTGTTAACAGATGAAGCTGGAGAGAATGTGGAGGACAAGAAGGTAGGTTTGTGCCCACCTGTACCAGGTGTGGCCTGGAGGGTTGCCTTCAGGTGATTCCCGGAGTGGTCTGAAATCATGATGAGTTTGGGCCGTTCATCATACCATTGGAATCTGTTCATTACCCTCTCCCCTCCCCTATCCCTGACCTTATCATTTGAAAAGTCAACAGGGGCACTTTCAAAACTGGGTTTTTTAATGTGTTTAAAGTTCCTTCTCATAAACCAACTAGAAGAAGCCCCGGTGATGTAATGGTTAAGTGTTCAGCTGCTAACCAAAAGGTTGAGGGTTTGAACCCACTCAGCGGCTCCGATGGGGGAAAGACCTAACAACCTGCTCCCGTAATACTGGGGAGCTCTGCTCTGAACTGGGGGTCACTGTGAGTCGAAGTCACTAAATCAGGACCACACAACAGCAACTAGCCAACCAGACCAGGACCCTCTGGTGCAGCAGGCATTCCTGGACATTCTCTGTGGCCAGGTCCTGGGTGCTCCATGGCAAACGTCAGAATATTCTGGCAATCTCCTAACTGGGAATCTGATTTTCCAGAGCAACATGGTTCCAAGGCTGAGTTGCGTTCCTATGCGAGGAGTCCAACCATGTGTTTGTTAATCTCCCTTGTTGTCCAGACCTGGCGGTGGATGGGGTTTTCCGCAGTCACACGAGGCAGCCAGCGGAAAGCTCGCTTATTTAACTTGGTTTTTCCAAGGGCTTGTTGGGGCCTCCGGCTGAGAGCTTTACTGATGATGCAGTATCCGGTATCCTCAGCTCTGAGCAGGACAGGCTGGATTCAGAGCCTGCAGACTCACTGGACCGGAGGGAGGGCTGACTCACTGGAGGCCCTTGGTGTCCTGTGCAGGGACTAGTCAGGGTTGACCTTGAGTCCTCTCCAAGGTCGGAGAGAATGTCTTAGGGCTTTCTGTGTTGTGGGGTTCCTCTCTGTGCTTGTTGTTAGTTCATATAGTCTTTCATCATTTGCTTCATTTTCATTTGCTCTGTCCACCTGGTAGGAGAGCACTTCTGCCTTTACTTTGTGGAAGGCAGAGCAAAGGGGACATCAGAAATGAGACCGGTGAGATTTTTTTTTTTTTTGCTGCCAAATCACCTTAAAAGCAAATGCTTGTGTTTTTTTCTCTTTTCAGATCCAAGAGGCTTGGAAGAGAAGTCTTGTAAGTCTCAGCCCTGTCATTTTTAGCCCCCAAATGACAAAGATCCCCGAATGTTGCAGACAGTTTGCACTCAGTCCCTAACTCAAAGATTGGTGGTTCCAATCTATATCGTGAAGCTGCAGAAGAAAGGCCTGGTGATTTACTTCTGCAAGGTGTCAGCCAGTGACAAGCCCGTGGAGCACAGTTCTACTCTGTTGTACCTGGGCTCTTCATGGGATGGGATCGACTCTACCTCCACGAGTTAAAATAATGATACTGACCTTTACATTTGCTCTTTTAAAGTCAACTGTGCACCCAGACGGCAGTACACTGATCCCCGCGCCCTTCCGACCTGCGGGTGAGTTGGGTTTTTCCCTAGAAGCATTTCTGGTGGTGAATCTGGAAACTGCAGCTTACAAAGAGGGTTTAGAGCAGGGTTGGGGAACATATGGCCCATGGGTTTTATAAGCCCTCAGAATCATGTGGTCCCGCCCTGCCAAGGCAACCTCAGGCAGGACTCGAAATTCCATAAATCTAGGAGCTTTTTTCATAGCAACATAAATTTATATTGAGTGATGCTATAAATATCTAAATGGCTCTTGGCAGAAATAAGGTTCCCCAGACTGCAAAGCCATTTGAACTGCAAGGTTGGCGATTCAAGCTCACCAGCTGCTCCTCGGAAATCCTAAACAGGGTCGTTATGGGTCAGAACCGACTCGATAGCACTTAACAACCCCAGGTTTGGATTCCTGGTGTGGTGCTGTAGGTTCACAACTGGACCGTGAACCACAAGGTTGGCAGTTCAGATTCACCAGCTGCTTCTCAGAAACCCTATCCCGGGTCACTATGAGTTGGAACTGACTCAATGGTACTTAACAGCAAACATCCCTGGTTTAGAGGATCTGGGGTTGATGGTAGGGAAGAGCAGGCTCAGGTCGGTTCTGAATCCAGTCTGCAAAAGACCCTGAGCTTTAGGAGTGAGGGGATAGGCCTGGGCTCAGTCCTACCTTGTCCGTCATGCCACAGTACACAGCAGATGGTTTCCCTGATGGTCCCAGAATGTATAATGTACATGCTGGTGTTAGGGATGCCACTTATGTGCTCTGTCATGTTCACCTGGTCTAACTGAGATAAAGGGTTCTGGTATGGTGCTGTTGGATGAGCATTGGACTGTAAACCACAAGGTCAGTGGTTCAAACCCACCTGTCGCTCCTCGGAAAGCCTATACAGGGATGTTATGAATCAGAGTTGACTCTATGGCACTTAATAACAACAGCGGTTGAGATAAAGGGGACAGCGCCCTTCTTTTCTAGGATTCTCTGTTTTCAGCAGAACACTGCCTAACAATTCAGACTCTAGTTAAATCGTTCATCAAAAGAATAAGGCAGTCTTATGTGTTAATAAGAAGGCTGCATCTCCAGGAATTAGTATTAAGGGGAAAAAGGTAAAACAGGCAATGGTGCATAGTGATCTGGTTTGTATAAATAAGGGTTGGGGGAGGGAGGAATGTATACAGCCGAATAAACCAAAGCCCAGTTGCCTTTGAGTTGATTCCATGGTGCCCCCATGTGTGTCAGAATAGAACTGAGCTCTATAGGGTCTTTGTTGTTGTTGTGAAGTGCCATCAAGTCGGTTCAAACCCAGAGCGACCCTATATAGGGTTTCCAAGGAGCAGCTGGTGAACTGGAACCGCCGACCTTGCAGTTCAAATGGCTTTGCAGTCTGGTGCATTAGCCCACAGTGCCACCCCAGGACTCCCTATAGGGTCTTTAGTGTCTGGTTTTTTGGAAGTAGATTGCCAGACCTTTCTTCTGAGGTGCCTCTGGGTAGACTCGAACCTTCACCCAAACATGTTAAGCATTGTACCACCCATATAACCTGAAACCCATTGCCGGCGAGTCAATTCCATCCCATGGTGACCCTATAGGACAGAGTAGAGCAGCCCTGTGGGGGTCCAAGATTGTAAATATTTACAGGCGCTGACACTGCATCTTTTGAACTGTCGACTTCTCAGTGAGCAGCCTGACCTCTGACCCACAGCGCCACTAGGATTCCTTATATATTCTGATGTTGTATGTTGTCGAGTCTGTTCCAACTCCCAGTAACCCCATGTAGGGTTTCTGAGAGCTGCTGGTAGGTTTGAACCACCTACCTTGCAAATAGCCGTGCAGTGCGTATTCTACAGTGCTACACCAGTTCTATTAAAAAATGCATCTGGAGGGAAGAACAAGAAACCATCAATGCTAATTCCATTTGGTGGAAGGGACTGGGAAGGTGGAAGGGAGACTTTTGTTTGTACTGTGTTATTTTTATTCCTTGCCACATGCACCTCTGAGGGCGATAGTTTCAGAAGGTGCTCAGTGTTCCAATGCTGCCCCTCTGTGTCACTGACGACTTTTCTCTTCTTTGTCAGCTTTCCTGCCATTAATGGGGCCCATGGTGAGTAAATTCCCCGCTTACCATTCAGAAACAGGGGCTTTGGGAAGATACCCACCCAGCTGGTGTCCTCCAGCTCTGGACCCCATCTCGTTGACTCCCCTACTGTGGTCCTTGTCTGCCATTCATATCCACTCCCTCCCCGACACACGCACACCTGTCCTATCCTGCAGCCCAGGTGTCCAGTAAACCTTGTTGTGAACACCTAATGTATGCAAAGCACTATGGGGGAAACAATGAGTAAACTGTGCCCACAAGCCCAAGTGGTGGTCTGTTACCTTCTGGCCCCCACAACCTCCCCCTCATATAGGCCCCACCTGGGACCTGAGTTGCCTCCGAAAGGCTGTCCACCTTGACTCTCCCTAGGTGCTTTGTCCATCTCACTCGTCCCTCACTCCTTCCACACCTGCCCTGTGTGTGTCCGTTGGCAAGTACATGCTTCTGGGCTGCCCTGCCATATTGCAGGTCTTGGGTTCCTGGTGCCCACAGAACAGCTCGTTCAGTGCTCTTTAGCAGTGGCCTGCCCACTGACCAATGGCCTCTGTGTCCCTGAACCTCCTCTCCTTGTCCTGGCTCCTGGGAGGCTCCACCTTCCCCAGAACACTGACAGCTCTGTTTTTCCTTCTTCTTAAAAGGTATTTTTTTCAATGATGCCATCGAAAGGGATAAAGTCCATGATTTTGCCTCAGGTAGCCATTGTTTCTGTTTCATGATTATTACTAAGTTCTGTTATGCTGGAAACCAAAATGTGTGCCATTTTCTTGTATCTCTCTGTAGTTCTCCCTGTATACCTACCTGACACCCTTCAACATCATCAATGGAAACACAACTTACGTGAGTATGAAGAGCTCCAGAGGTCATGCAGTTTTAGTGTTTGTATTTTGTTTGCTTTTGTTTTGTTTTAACTTATTTTGTGAATTGAGTGAAGCTTTATTGACTAGATCATCCGTTTTACATTTAGCAAATCATAGACTTCCATTTCTTTACAATGACTGCAATCCCCTCCATGTACCATCATTTAGCAGCATTTACCTGGAGTCACTTTAACTCTTGCATTCCTCCCTGTGTCTTCTGCTCCCTTCATCTTTTCTCTGCCCACTTCCCTCTTGTGTTGCCTTCCCTGGGACCCAGGTTAACATGTGTGTATCCTCCACATGTGGCGCTGTAGGATAAGCACGGGACTGCTGACCACAAGGGTGGTGGTTCAAACCCAGTGCAGGATTGCTGTGGGTCAGAACCAACTTGATGGCACTTTACAATAACCTTCTAGCTAGCCAGAGTTGTTTTTGTTTTTTCCTTGGTAAAAAATTCCCTTTGCCAGATAAACGGTAGCATTTACTACGAATGTTCTTTCCTTTTCTTTAGCCTCATCACCTAGGAGAGAATCTACTACTGGGCACAGGAGTGATCGCTTCGTCCACCTTTTTTGGAGTAGGTATTTTGATTATCTGTGGAGCTGCTCTTATTCAGAATCAGCCCAAGATTTTCTGATTATAAATTAATTACAACTTAAACCATTTAGAAAGTAGGGATAAGACATAAAGAAGAGAAAATGTTTTCTCTAATGCTATCAGAAGTCTCTGGGGGCGGGGGGAGGCACCAGCAATTGAAAAGTTTGGAGGTTCATATTCACCCAGCGGCACCTCAAAAGAAAGGCTGGTGATAAAACACAATCAGCCCCTGAAAGCCCTCTGGAGTACAATTATAGTCTGACACGCGTGGGGTCATCCTGAGTCGGAATCAATAGGTTTTATAACTCTGGCATTCTGGAATCATAATCACGTCAGCATTCTGAGTTCCTACGCAGTGTGCTCCAATGAAAAATAAATGCATTTTAAAAATGAGCTCTTGCTGCACAAATGGGTTCTATGGATTGGGCACGGCTTTGGATAGTTGTTGTTAAGTGCCATTGAGTCGGTTCCGACCCATAGCGACCCTGAATAGGGTTTCTGGAGCTGTAAATCTTTACAGGAGCAGAGAGCCTCATCTTTCTCCTGCGGAGCAGCTGGTAGTTTTGAACTGCTGACCTTGCGGTTTGCAGCCCAATTCATAATCACTACACTATCAGAGCTCCTTGGCTTTGGATAATAGGGCTCAGTAATGGGTACAAGTGTCAGCTTCGGCGTCAGACAGAGCTAGTTACAATCCTGGCTCTGACCCACAAGGACCCTGTGACTCCGGGTGACACTGAGCCTTGGTTTACCCTCTGGTGAGGTAAGAGAATGACAGTCCATTATCTACCTCACCGTTACAAGAGCTAACACAAAAAATACTTGGAAAGCCACGCAGACTGGCTTATCTGTCTCAGGAACCAGGTGAAGGTCAGCTCTCTGTCCTTAAGACTGTCCAGCTGAGTTTTAGTCTCAGGAAATACTGATTTTTCTCTATTATTTTCTAGATAATTCCTCAGTTGGTGCAAATAAAGTATTCCCTGGATAGCCATCTTGTTCGCTTTATGGCCAGCCGAGTCCTTCCGGTCATCTTTCTTGGTGAGTGGGAAGGGCGGGAGCATGGGGTCTGAGGCTTGTCTTTGTCGCTGTCTAGCCTTTCTAGATCACTGGAGCCACCCCAGCCCCTCATCTGTGCTGTGGCGGAGGACAGCCACCGCTTGCAGCCTCCAGTGCCCCCAGGCCTGAGCTAGGTCTTTGGTCTAAGAAAGGACACTTTGTCTTAGTTCTCTCGTGGTGGTGGTAGCTGTGTGCTGCAGAGTCGGTTCCAGCTGACAATGACCTTGTGTAGGATTTCCAAGGCTGTAAATCTGAACAGGAGCAGAAATCTCATCTTTCTCTTTCGGAGCGTCTGGTAGACTTGAACTGCTTACCTTGCGGTTAGCAGCCCAGCTCGTAATCCACTACACTACCAGGGCCCCTAGTTAGCTGCCTACTGATGCTAAGACAGAGACACCACGTGTGGATCGCTTTACCAGGCAGAAATGCAATCTCTCACAATGCCTGTGGTTAGGTGGTGTTGGATTGCTTCTGACTCGTAGTGACTTGATACACGAACAAAGCACTGCCTGGTCCTGGTCATTCTCCCAGGTGTTATGTTTGAACCCATGTGGCAGCCTTTGTGACAGTCCATCTCCTGGGGGGGCTTCCTCTTTTTCACTGACCCTCTACTTTAGCAAGTATGATGTCCTTCTCCAGGGCCTGGTCTCTCCTGATAACATGTCCAAATGTTCCAAGGAGCGTTCTGGCTACATTTCTTCCAAGACAGATTTGATTGTTTTTCAGGGAGTCCAAGATACTTTCAGTTTCTCTAACAACATTATAGTTTAAATGTGCCAATTCTTCTACAGTCCTTTTTCAGTGTCTAGTTTTTGCATGCATCTGAAGTGATTGAAAATATCTTTGACTTGGGTCAGGTACACCTTAGTCCTCAAATTGACCTTTGTTTGTTGTTGTTCTGTAACACTGTAAAGATGTCTTTTGAAGCAGATTTGCCTAGTGCAATACCTTTGATTTCTTTCTCACAGTTTAGGAGGCTTGAAGTCCGAATTCAGAGCACTGGCTTTGGAGAGAGGCCCTTGTCTCCTTTCAGCATCTGTATACCCAGCATTCCTCGGAGCTCTCCATGTGTCTTGGCGTCAGTGCTTTCTCTGGATCTAGGAGCTTCACAGGGCAGGGAGCTCAGGTCCACAGAACACGCTCCACTCCCGGCTTATCTCCGTCCCTCCTTAACTCTGCTGACTTCTCTCTGCTTTTTTCTCTTTATAAGGAGCTCTGGTAGCGTAATGGTTACAAATCGGCTGCTAACCTCAAGGTTGGCAGTTCAAAACTACCAGCTGTTCCGCGGGAGAAAGATGAGGCTTTCTGTTTCCTGTAAAGATTTACAGCCTCGGAAACCTGTGCAGGGTCGCTATGAGTGGGAACTGACTCCACAGAACTTAACAACAACAACAAGATACTGCAGTACTGCAGGCCACACCCCTGAGGAAACCTCCTTTCAACTGACTGGCTGCTCATAGCAGATCTCCTCATGTAGTTAATTATCTTATATTGATTTAATCATGGCGGTGATTCTATTAGGGCTCCTCATTGGAGTCTTGGTGTGGCGCTGTAGAGTAAAGCATTGGGTAGCAAGGTCGGTTTGGACTACAGGGTTGGCATTTCAAACTCACCAGCCACTCTTTGGGTCTCTATGCGTCATAACCAACTCGACGGCACTTAACAACAACAACAACAGAGGAGGTGGTTACTGATGGTTGTTGTTAGGTGCAGTTGAGTCCGTTCCAACTCATAGCGACCCTGTGCACAGCAGAATGGAACTCTGCCTGATCCTGTGCCATCCTTATAATTACTGCTGCCACTGTGCCAGTCTATCTCACTGGGGGTCTTCCTCTTTTTCGCTGACCCTCCACTTTACCAAGCATGATGTCCTTCTCCGAGGACTGGTTCCTCTTGATAATATATCCAAAGTCTGAGAGACAAAGTCTCGCCATCCTGGCTTCTAAGGAGCCTTGTGACTGTACTTCTTTCAACACAGATTTGTGTGTTCTTCTGGCAGTCCCTGGTACCTTTAATATTCTTCTCAAACATCGTCACTCAAATGTATCAGTTCTTTGATGGTCTTCCTTATTCATTGCTCAACTTTCACATGCATATGAACCTATGGAAAATACCATGGCTTGGGTCAGGTGTACCTTAGTCCTCACTCTTTGCTCTTGAACACTTTAAAGAGGTCTTGTGCAACTGATTTGCCTAATGCAATATGTCATTTGATTTCTTGAGTGCTGCTTCCATGAGTGTTGATGGTGGATCCAGGCAAAATGAAGTCTTAAACAACTTCAATAATTTCTCCATTTATCTTGATGTTCTTTATTGGTCCAATGGTGAAGATTTTTATTTTCTTTACATTGAGGTGCAACCCATACTGAAGGCTGTGGTCTTTGATCCTCATCAGTAAGTATTTTAAGTACTCTTTGCTTTCAGCAAGCAAGGTTGTGTCATCTGTTTATTGCAGATTGTTAATGAGTCTCCCTCCAATCCTGATGCCCTGTTCTTCTCCATATCATCCAGCTTCTTAGATTATTTGCTCAGCCTACAGATAGAGTAGAATAGTAACATTACCTACTTGCAGGTGGTGTTTGTTGTTGTTATGTGCCGTGGAGTCAGTTCCGACTCATAGTGACCCTGTACAGGGTTTCCAAGGCTGTAAATCTTTATGGGAACAGAAAGCCTCATCTTTCTCCCACGGAACAGCTGGTAGTTTCGAACTGCTGACCATGAAATTCGCAGCCCGATTCGTAATTATTCCCGTTGACAGGTGAGGAGATGGAGGCACAAGAATGTTCTCAGGGTCACACAGCAAGCATGAGTCTCCAACCGGGCCATGTGAATCCAGAGGGAGTATCAGATGCTAACCAGATGCTTGGATTTGTCAGCTTGCAAATCCACTGGTTCCTGCTCCAAATTGGGGTTGAGATTCATAGCCATTTGGAGAGTTGGAGAAATGATGTCGGTGGTAGAATTGGTGAAATTGTTTTACCGAAACCTGGTTAAACCAGATGAAACAAGGAAGTGGGCATAGCTCTTGGGATTCTCCATGGTGTCCTGTTTCAGGGTGAGGCAGGGCCTCAGGCTATGGGAGCCAGCTGCTGGGATTCAGCTGGGATCCAAGATGTAGCTGCTAGCAGTGCTGCTCCGTTGCCCAGCCGATGACCAGGGAGCACCTGACGGTTGTGGGGAGACATCTGTCAGATCGAGGCTGGAGGTGGGCAGATACCAACTTGTTCCTCCAGGAACCCAAACGCATTCCTGCTCTGTGTTCTCTTGTAACCCCAGCCCAAGTCAGTGGGATGAACGTGCTTGCATCCCGAAGTCTGGAGTCCACACGAGGTATCACGGTCATGGACAAGGAAGGCAAAGTCATTGGCCACTCCAGACGAGCCGGCCAGAAGGTAAGGGGACATGATGGAGCTGGAGCCGCTGGCCCTCTGGGTGAAGAATTGAGTTTTCTTTTGAGAACCAGCTAACTAACCAAACCCTCCCTCTTCCCCATCCTTGCTCATCCGCTGAGTTTGCATATTGACCCTGATATGCAAAACACAGACACCCGACACCCGACACCCGCTTGGTTCTTATCCCAGGTGACCTCCTGTTCTCCTAGCCCAGCATTCCCTGTCCCAGGTTGGGCACATGACTGGGGACCCTGGAAAAGGTCACCCCTTCCCTGCCTTCTCTGCACGCGTGGGGGTCAGTACATATTGCTCCGTCTTCCGCTCCTCAGAGCAGGTTTTCTTAAAATGGGCATTTGAAAAGAATTGTGGTTTTTATATATATCAGTGAATGGCAGGCACTCCTTGAAACCCTGTATAGGGTCTATGAGTCAGAAATGACTCCACGGCACTTAATAACAATGTGGGGCTGTGAATTAAATGCTCCAGACTACAAAGCCATTTGAACTACAATGTCGGAGGTTCAAACTCACCAGCCACTCCTCAGAAACCCTATACAGGGTCACTATGGGTCAGAACCAACTTGATGGCACTTAACAACAACTATATGTATATAAAACAAAGCATTTGTCATCTCAACAGCCTGAGTACTAACCTAAAAGTTAGGGGTTCAAACCCAACCAGTGACTACATGACCTGCTTCTGTAACGGTTACAGCCAAGAAAACCCTATGGGGTGTAGTTCTACCCTATAGCATGGGCCTGCGTGGGTTGGAATTGAGGGGACAGCAGCATGTTTGGTGGCGTTTACTTGTACAACTCAGTGCCACTAATTATGGTCGCCACACTGGGCTGCCACCACCACAAATTTCCCCACCACCCCAAAGCTTCATGTTTAAGCATTGATTTCCTGTCCAGGAAGGCCTTGAGAAACCCAGCGCTCTGACCTGAACTGTTCGTCAGAGGCCTTGGTGTTTAGTTTTAAAGTTTTTCTATTCAATAGTTTGTTCATTTGCTTAGCTCAGCACCCTGGCTCCAGGTGCATTCGGCTGTGAGAACATAAGTGATGTCTGGTAATTTCGTGTGGGGTGTGGACTTTTTAAATGATGCATTTTGAGTATCTGTGAAATGAATATAGAAAAAGCATTACAAGGTGAGGCACTTGTGTGGAGGCAGCATGGAGAGCTCTGAGTCCCAAGTAAAGGAAATAGCTGATAGCTGGCTTAGCCCAGCACCATGTCCAAGGGGGTGGCCTTTGCCAGTCAGACAGCCTCTCCTGCCCAGCATGGTGGTGGAAGAGGAGGTCAGAAAGGATGGCTGTTCAGTCAGTCAGTAAGTCTATAGTTATTGGCTCACAAAACATGTTAACTCTAAATCCTGTCAGATTTGCAAAGCTGAATAATTCCTATGATGGTATTTTTAGCAGACTATCTGGTAGTATGTCTGAGAATATTGGCCACCTTCCTAATGAATTCCAATAGGGACTCAATGATTATCACTGACAAGGAGAGAAATTGCTGTCGGAAAAGAAAAATGATATTTCTAGTTTTTTGTTTATTTTAAATGAAGGATCATATGCCTAAAGACATCTAAAGAGACTTTTTTAAAAAGCTCTGATTGGTTTATTTTGACACATTAAACCAAAATATGAGACAACATCTTTTTTTGGAAAAGCTCTGAATTCTATATAAGCAGAGTTGGCTTGATGGACCAAAACATATTTTAGCAAAAAATATTTAGGTATCCCACCCCTTAGTAAAAGGAGCTCTGGTAGCATAGTGGTTATGAGTTGGGCTGTGAACCTCAAGGTCAGCTGTTCAAAACTACCAGCTGTTCCACAGGAGAAAGATGAGGCTTTCTGCTCCCATAAAGATTTACAGCCTCGGAAACCCTGTACAGGGTTGCTATGGGTCGGAACCGACTTGATGGCACTTAACAACAACAATACCTAATAAAGCTTTCTCTGGACCCCCCAGCCCACTACCATCAAGTCAGCTCCAACTCAGTGACCCTGTAGGACAGAGAAGAGCTGCTTCAGTAGGGGCTTCTGAGTCGGCTTTACAGGAGTAGGCTTCCTCATTGTTCTCCTGTGGAGCAGCTGGTGGGTTTGAACCGCTGACCTTTCAGCTAGCAGCCCAATGCTTGACTTCTGTGACAACAGGACTTCTTATGTTGTTTGTTGTTGTGTGCCATCGAGCCTGTTCTGACTCAGTGACCTTGAATAGTTGTTTCCAAGAGTGGCTGGTAGGTTTGAACTGCCAATTTGTGGCTACCAGTCCGATGCTTATCCTACATCACTAGATGCTAAATAACTTTGTTAGATGACTAGCGCTTTAGAGCACTCTAAACCGTTGTAAAACAGAATCAAAAGTATAACGTAAGAATGTTGAATTGTTAAATTTTTACCTATGTAAGAAGAATTATTTGTGTCTTCCATTTTCACCTTTTTTTAAATTGTAAAAAAATATGTATCACAACGCCTGTGTTTTTAATTATGGTGATAAGTACACATTGGAACACACACGTGTTCATCAGTTGTTCCATGTGGAAGTCAGTACCATTGGTACTTTCTTCATGGTCTGTCGCTTTCCTTGCTGTCTCTGTCTAGCCCCAGTGTTTCACCACCATTGGTTTAGATTTCTCCCTAAACTTCTCATCTGTGCTTTAGAGTTCCTGTTGACAATTGGATCTCATATAGATAATTCTTTTCCTTTTTGTGTGTGTATTGAAAAAAGATTTGTATTTAGAATTAGCCAGCTGGACTCAGTTGAGATGATCCCAACTTTGTTGGCAACATCCAAAGCATCCTACTCAGGGACCAGTGGAACATCTGCCTTTTCCCCATCAGGCCTGATCCAGGTGTTCGCCTTGGCTTCATCAATGTTTGATCTGGTGCTTGTTGGCCTTGACACCCACAATAAACACAAGGGTGTTGTTACCTTCAGTCTTCATGGCTGACTCAGTAGTCAGAGGGAACTTGATGATGGCATAGTGGTTAAGCTTGTTTCTCCTGGGGGCGCTCTTCTGAGGATATTTGGGCTGCCCTCAGAGCCTCTGTCTTGGCTACTGGAAGGTGGGTGATGTGTGGATCTTCTTTGATCTTGTACTGTGGACGCCTTTCAACACTGCCTTCTTTTTTTTTTAAAGCTCTTATTGTGCATTAAGTGATAGTTTACATGGGAGAACATCAGTTTTGCACTCGTCCTGTTGTATTTCGTATCATTACAATGATTACAATCCCCTCCATATATCACCATTCAACAGTATTTGCTTCTATTCCCTGTGTTTATATTTATTTTATTATTTTTTTTTTATGTACACAAAACCACTCAGGAATATATAATCATCTAAACAAACCAAGGGACATTCTGCAAGTCTGCCTCCTGGCCACTAGCACACAGCCTTTCTCTTTCCACGAGTCTAGAGTCCTCAGCTACTCTCTTTCTCTCCATATCATCTCTGCCTCCATCTCTGGTGTCGCTTTTTCTCTGGATAAGGTCCTGCATTCTGCTTGTGCTCTTTTCCCTTGATGGTTCTAGGGGCCTCTGTTCCTGGAATGTAAAATTAACTGCTCCCACTTTATGTTACAAAACTTCTACCTTTACAGTGGTGACAGTCATAATTAGTCATGATAACAATTATTCATTATTGAATCATAGGAACCTTGTTCCTATCTCCTTTCACCAGACCCGTCTAGACAAAATGAAAAGTATTCAGTGGGGGTTCTATCTTCCCCTGCACACTCTGAAACTAAACTACTTCTTGGAAACTTGTAAACCAGCCACTTCATGCCATTATAGCCCCCAATTTTAGGTAGCCAATGTCTAAGTTGCCCATCCCTATCAACCCTGTGTACAGAGGGGATATGTTTGATCCCTGCCTTCTTGACCTTCAACACCTTTATTTTGGCTTCTGTTTTGGGAGGTGCAGGGGCTTCCTTCTTTGCTTTAGGTGCCATCTTCATTTAAAAAAAAAAAAAAAAAAAAAGTGTTTGACCCAAGCACTGCATTCTTTCGTTATATAACTAAACAACTGTTAAGTTTAAAGATCACTTCAGGAGATAATTTTAATTTTGGGTCATGGTTTGATGATTTTCTCAGAGATTCCTCCAGTCTCAATAGATCCAGTCATTCTGAATTCTGTAGGAAATTGAAATTCTGTCCCACATTTTCCTCTCTTTTGATCAGTATTCTTCTATTGATTTCAAGATCAACACATTCAGTAATGGTAGCCGGGCAACATCCAGTTCTTCTGGTCTCGAGGCATCTTGACCTACAGTACAATACACATACATATAATTTTTTTTAACACCTATATATATATTTTTTTTTTCTTAAATGTTTTATTGTGAATTATGTGTTACTTTACATGGGAGCACATTAGTTTTACATTCTTTGTATC